CAGCTCAACTCATATGATTGTGGGAAAATTCTTCTTCTACCAGTCCTTCATCACCTTAAACGAAATAGGGGAATACATCTCATATTACTGATTTACTGGTAGTCTCGAACCTCTACTCAAATACGAATTAAAGGTGGCTTGGCTTGCCTTAAAAGCCATATCCTCCGTGTGACTCAGGCTGGCGGCGGCGTAGCAATACTGCCACTTGACTCACAGGACCCGGCTTTGAATCCTGTTTGAGGTAACATTAGGCGAGCTCGAACCTGCAGTCTAGTCCGTATGCGAAGGCGATTTGGGTGGAAAGATTACGTTAAATCAAATGGTATTGTGATATCTTTAACTCATTTTGTTGTGGGAAATTCAACCGAGAACTAAACAGTTTTATTCAAGATTTTATTAAAGGTCTATGGATATTTTTTCATACATTACTTCATCTGGATCCGAAGGCGATAAGTTTGGTGACCAAAGGGTTGTGAATAAGGCGCAGGCCGTGGACTGTAGAGCTCCACTAAATAGTCTGGACTCGAGGTCTTAGCAACTCTTCGGTCGACTGGAGGGGGATTTTATTTGCAAAAGAGGTAACGTGGCCTGTAATTCAGCATGGGTTCGAACTCTGTGGGCGTTGCTGAGGAGACCAAAGCGGAATCATAGTGACCGAGGTACAAGATGTGTGCACTCTTCAACAAAAACCGCCATTCAATCGTCTGTATGAAGACAGAATGATGTGGTCTCTAGGCTGGTTAGTCTGCGGACAGGTAGTCAAGGGAGGGGCTCAACTAGTCTCTTTGGCGAAGTGTAGCGAAATTACGACGACTGAGAAGTCGGGGAATGGATCATCATGAATCGAATGCTAGAGGAGGTCGGCGAAGGTCGCCTCGACAACACGACCAATTGAAAAAAGAGCAAAGTCATCATGTGCATCTGTGGTGGCTGGAAAGCAGGTATTTCGTTGCAATGCTGCCCTCCATTCTTTCGGCTCCGCTTCCTGACAGACGTTTCCACTTTGGGCTGCCGCCGGCGAGGGTCCGTCTTCAAAAATGGCAGCAAGTCTTAATAATCATGCAGCAGAAGGAAAAAAATATTTTTCTATAAAGATCAATGTAGTAGTCTTGTGTCACTTATTTGCCCCAAACGAGGGATCTCGATGGTGGCGGCTCTCTGATCTGAGATTAGGCATCGACTCCGGCCAAGTCTGGCCAGACGGAGGAGACCGTGGCTACGTGTGGTAGGGAATGGAAGGGAGGTTAACACCGAAGTGGAAAGAAGGTTATATCCAAAAACTGGGCAGTGCAAATGGGTGAGAGGGGAAAAATAACTTGTTGGAGGATAAAATTGATGTAAAAAAACATGAAAGACATCGTACAGACAGCAAAGCAATCAATTCGGTAGCCTCTTTCGTTGCCTCAACCCTTCGCACTAAAAGCCGACACCTCGTAGTGCATCTGTCTGCAGCAGCAGCAGCAGTAGCAGCAGCAGTAGCAGCAGCAGCAACAGGTGGTCACTTCCATCGGCAGTCGAACATGGCGACGAGCGCAGAAAGAGCAGATTGGAGATAATTGGCAATTTAGTAATTGCCAGGAGAGCTGCTCCTCTTCTCTTTCTCATGTCAAGTCGGCGCTGAGCCGAGGGCCGGCAGCTGCTTGTTTGAAAGTTCGTAAAGGTCAGTGTAACCGGGGCATCGCTTTATTGTCTTGGCACGCGCATCGCCCGGACGCAGATCGGCGAGTGAAAAAGCAACAAATAATCTTCCCAACACAAGCGCTAAACTTAATGTCAGCGTTTGAACCCGCGTTCAGTTGTGTCGTTGCCATTGCCTGCTTCCGCGATCGCATGATGGATAGCCCCCGAGGGAGCGTGGTCCATCGAGGCCGTACTCGCATGTGCCAGACACATCGGCCGACAGGTAAACTTTTGGCCGGTTGGTATGCTCCATGGTCAGACAGCAGTTTGCCCCATAAATAACACAGTTAACATTCTTTTTTATACCCTCCATCTTCCACAGTCTGTGCTGGCTGGCTTGCGCATTCTTACGGCGTGTGGATGGGCAATGGGGACGTTGTAAAAGGCCGAAACTTAGTGGATCATCGGGAGGCCTTGCTAACTTCGCGGGCGGGACACGACAGAAAAAGGTTTGGACGAAAGCCCTTTATCTCGTTGCAGGATTCGCCAGACCTGCCGCCCCTCTGGGCTTCGAAAATGCCCACCTTGGCTGCTTCCTACGACGGGCAGTTGTGCGATGAGGCAGCCCTCCAGACAGGCAGATTGGGTTGATCTCTCCCATTCGAATGGCTCGACCAGCGGTCAGACGAGCCAATGCCAAAAGGAAGAAGAGCACAATTTATATAAAAAGAGGAAATGCTGGCTGCGAGGCATCCTACAGTGAGTTTGTGCAACTCGAATCTGGATTTTGAAGCAAAAGTTGGTCTCACCAAAAAGTGAAGACGAACAATGCTGTTGGATCAGGCGATGAAGTCCTCGGCTCACTGTATTGCAACTCAGACAAAGCTGTGCCAAGTTTTT